ATATATTTTTTTTTTGTGCATGTAACAGGTTTGCAAAGTGAAAAAGCCCAAAGTGAGTTCCCATCTCCCACAGAAAACTCTGCTCTGAACTGAAAACAGCTCGTTTGTAGTCCAGCCGCTTCCCTTTCAAGCTAAACGCGCCTCATGTAACGCTCGCCAAGCGGCTACTCCGACACGCCCTCAGAAACAGCGAGCTGCAGCACACAGCTCTCCTCTCCCTTCCAAACACTAGCTACCCTCCAGGCAGTCAGTGGACAAAGTTGTTCCGTGATGTAGAGACAGAGCTCAGTTAAAACTTTATGGATACAGATTAATAACGCCGCTCTGAAACTCTCGCTACAGTCCGTGTTGCCGAGCCGGTCGGCAACACGTACGGCTAACCCGAGCGTTTACCGGCTTCTCGCGACCGCCCTTCTCTGCTTCTGATTGGCTAGTAGTCCTTAACTAGGAACTGAGCATGTGCAACTCCCAACAAAGATCATTTAGAGACAAATATCAAGATAGAGATTTTGATATCGTGCTCATCAGCTTATTGTAACTCACCTTGTCAGCCACGCTGTTGGGATGAGCGTCCTGACCACCACCCCGGTCGTCTTCCCTCCCACGATGCCGAAGCCCAAACCAGATCCATCGTTCACCAGCTCGATTTCCTCCGCGTGACCCCACTGATCCTTCGGACGAGAAGACGCAGACACACGTTAGCGAGGTGTTTGACTGAACCAGTTGTATTTCCCCTGTCGCCCAAAACCAATGTCGAACAGGTTTACTGTTACAATGAATAACTCTGCTAACATTTTCATTTGGTCCTCATGTGTTTTGCAGATGTGTATTTTATAAAAAAAAAAAACCCACTGAAACAGTTGATCTATAGTCTTTTGATTGGGTGTTGATTTACAAATATTGTAAACGCCTTCACAATGACTGCTCATCTGCTTTTTCCAAATCTGTATAGAAAAGAGAACACTTGGATTGATTTTTAAAAAAGGACTAACGTAGGTTTTCTTTAAAGCATGTGATTTTTGTTTAACCTTTATTTACCCAGGAAGATATTTGATTTTGATAGAATCTCTTTTTCAAGAAAGGCAGCAAAACAGCATTTAAAAGTCTCACTGACATTTTATATACACACACACACACATACATGATAATACAATGCATCACATCTACACTTCTCTTATAGACATCTAGCTTTCCGAGCTGAAGCCAACATTAATGCTAGCTAACTTACTGACGCAAATGTTACTGAAGCTAACGTCACTGAAGCTAATGTTACAGAAGCTAAAGTTACTAAAGCTAACATCGCTGAAGCTAACGTCACTAAAGTTAATTGATGCCAACGTCACTGAAGTTAATTGAAGTTAACGTCACTGATGCTAACATTACGGAAGCTAACGTTGCGGAAGCTAACGTCACTGAAGCTAATTTAAATTAACGTCACTGAACTCACTGAAGCCAACGTCACTAAAACCAACGTTACTGAAGTTAACTTCATGATGCTAACATTATAGAAGCTAAAGTTGCGGAAGGTAACGTCACTGAGATTAATTGAAATTAACGTCACTGAAGTCACTTAAGCTAAAGTCACTAACAGAACTGATGCGAACATTACAGAAGCAAATGTTGCGGAAGCTAACATCACTGAAGCTAATTGAAATTAAAGCTAACGTTTCTAAAGCTAAATGAAGCCAATATTACTGTAGATAACTGAAGCCAACGTCACTGCGGCTAACGTTACCGAAGATAACTGATGTTAACGTCATTAAACGTTCATGTTCACCTGTGCCTTCTGCTAGGCTAAAAACCTTGCACTACATTTTGATTTTATTCTTTTTAAATGATCAAATAGGTCTTGATTTTATTTTTATTTTTCTTTAATGTAATTTTATGCACTCTTTTATATTATATTTATAAAATGTATTTATGGTACAACATGCTGTTTCTATGAGTCTGCCTTGTGTATAAATTGTGCTATAGAAATAAATTTGTCTTGCCTTATGTTCTTTAATGTTTAATGTTTCTGATTTGTTTGACATTCAAGCCACCTACCACCAAACCTGATGAAAGTTAATGGCTGAAATCATTTGATTCACAGAATCTTGTACAGTTATTGATGGAAGCAGAACAATCTGATCAAATTATTTCTATCAGTAGATCAATGAGTCAAACCAGGATAATTTAAAACCGATTCGTGCATCAATGATTTTAAACACTTCTGATCATTTTATTTTTATTTATATTTTGTGTCCAGGCAGCTCAACCCGTTCTCACATGGTCAAGACCTCTAGCCGTCACTTTGTAACACACTGGGGGAAAGTGTAGTGTCACTTTTGAACCCTAAAGGTAGGTTTAAAATATTTAAAGGTTCAGTGTGTCTTAGGCTTTATTGACAGAAATGCAATATAAAGATGGTGTGTAAAGACCTTACATAATGAACCGTTATGTTTTTATTACCTTAGAATGAGACATTTATATCTACATAACTGCGGGTCCCCCCTTCCATGGACGTCGCCACGTTGCATGTCGTGTTTCTACAGTAGCTGAAAACGGACAAACAGCGCTAAAGAGCGCGTTTCATCGCTACGTTCTTCTTGTTCTACTTCTGGTAGAATTCAGGCAGTGCAGACACTCATCACTGCGTTGAATACGTACGTTAGAAGAAGTAGTACTAATATACTGCAGCGGTCGGCAAATAAGTTTTGCATCGGAGCAATATTTTCAACCATTACATGGTGGATGAGAATATAAGGCATACTATTCAGTTAGCTCAGTTGGTGCAAGGTGCAGGACTCTCAATCCAAGGGTTGAGTGTTTGATCCCACCTTGGGCTAACTTTTTTTCTTTTTTTTTTTTCCCCCTCTCTTCAACAAATGGATTCTGCAGCGAATGTTTCTCAGATCACAGCATGTGCTGCACTGTTTTTGTTTCGGTATTTACTGACTCTTTTAATGACGTTCAGAATTTTTCAAAGTAAAAGCTCAGTTCAACTCCAATACTGTATTACAGTAAACAATTATTTATTTTGTAGACAAAACCACTACAGAGGAAGTGATTATGTGAGTAACAGTTGACTGAACTCTATTTCAGCACCCCTATCAGTACATTTATATTTTTTACCGCTATCAAAGCACCGTAATCTGGCAGCGGGCCAGATATTATTGCTGCGGGCAGTTTTGGCGAGTGTCCATAATCACAGAGCACGAATGTGTTTCCCTTGTCAGTGTTTGTATAAACTTTATTTAATATGTGGTTTATAATGGACTGTGGTGCAGAAACAGTGACAGTGTTTCCATGTTATCTGTCAGTGGCCAAGTCACAATAACATATGGTTTTAGTGAATAATTCAGTAAATGTAATTTCTTAATAAATCTACCTAAAGTAAACTAATTTCTTGACTGGCCACTCTCTGCTGTCTCAGAAGAGACACCTTTTGTGCTGTTGTCAGCCACCATAGCTGTCCTGCGCTCTTTGAAGAAGCTCTTTAGGGGGCAGTGGTAGACTGGACGGATGGTTGCAATACACAACCCTCGCCATTAGATGCCACTAAATCTCACACAATGAACCTTTAATAATAAAGTTTGAGTAAAGAGCTGGTTGGGGTGGACGGTGGGCCAGAAACCAGACTTCAAGAGACCGGTGTTTGTTTCCCGTGTGAAAAAAAACATTGAATATTTTAAGTTTTCCTAAACTTAACCAAATTGCGACATTTCACAACGTTAAGTAGTTTTATTTTTGAAAGCCTGACTGGAAATTGCACATTTATTATTGCCAACTTGACTGCAGAGCCCGAAAAACTCTAAAAAGCGACGCCAAAGGGTGTTTACCAGGCATCCGTGTGTGACGAGTTGGGCCTGAGAATGTGTTGGGAAGCTCAGCAGCCGCCTCACAGAGCTGCTGGCTATCTGTCCTGAGGTGAAAGTTCATTACTGAAGCTCAGCAGGTAATTACAAGCCGAGAGCACTTCCTCCTCTCCGATACCAGCTGCTGATCAATGAGAGGCTGCAGCGTGCACACACACACACAGGCTGTCTTTATGAAGTGGCTTTAATCACAGGTGGCCCTGGTCTCTTATTACAGCTCTGATCTGATAGGAGGAGGTCTCCCTCTGTCTAATGAAACAAACCTCCTCATGGGCTGATCCCAGGACGCCGGACGAGGCCGTTTGCCTGATAAAGTCGGATCACACTGAATGCGCTTGACGCTTCGCTCTCCAACAAAAGTTCACTCTTTTCACAGGAGAGGATCTGTTACTGCAGGTAGTTTACTACAGTAAAAGGTGTTGGATTTCTTCTGGTTCTGCTCGGCGAGACACAGCTAATGTTTAAATCCCGTTTGAATTGTGTCCTGAATTACACACATGATGTTTGTCAGTTTGAGTCGCACATTGTCGTAAAACTGTCGAAGTACAAGACTGAAAATACGTAACGACAAAAGAACACACACCCAAAAGTCGTGTATGTGAGGGAAGGGATTCTCTATACTACATCACGCTTCATCATCCATCGCAGCTCCACCCAGGCTTCCTTCTCCTTCCTCCTTGAAAATTAGGATTTTCTGGCTCCAGTAACAGACAGCAGAAGTAGGGCTGGGCAATAAAACAATGGTAATTATCGCAATATAATTTTCCTCAACAACAATATAATAAATATTATAATATATCGTCAATAAATATTTGCTTTAATTCATTTGAATCACGGACAAATTAGCACTTAATTTTTCTATTAAAATATTTATTTTGTTGGGAAAAAAAAAAGAGGCCTGAAAAAGATTAACTAATCATATTTGTTGAAAACAGATTTTATCATAATAGTTTTGAATGTTCCACCTCAGATTTGTTAAGTGATCCACTGTTTGGCATCAAGTGTCCTGTCCTTAAAGAAAAGTTTTGACCTTCTGGTTTCTTCAATTTTCACTTAGGGGCAAAAATCGGCCTTTAAACTTGAAAGAAATAATGATTTGACATATATCATGATAATTATCGATATCGAATGATATGAAATGTTTTAATCGTGACAACATTTTTGGCCGTATCGCCCAGCCCACAGCAGAAGTGACCAATAAAGTTAAACTCCAAATATCCTGACCATGCGGCAGACACGGCGAGTCCTGATGCACCACTGAATCGCAACACCAATCTGGTGGCGGACTTTTGTTGCTTAACACCAAACTGGAAATGTGTCCATTTTCTCGATTAATTGATCAGTTGTTAGGTCCAGAGAATGTGTGTTTCCCAAAGTTTAAGGTGACGTTCCTAAAATGTCTTATTTTGTCCACAACCCAAAAATATTCAGTTTATGGTCTTAGAGGAGCAAAGACAATATTCACATTTCAGCGATACGCAGAGATGCGTACTGGGAGAAAAACATTTTTATGTATGACATGTGAGCAGGATGACTGAGAGGACTTCACAGGAACATTTAGAAACTTTATCCAGTTGTTCTTTAGTTCATGTCCTCTTGGTTTTAAAAGGCCCCTTCAGGTTCCCTTAATTGCGCAATCTGTTGGGTTTTTATCTCTGTTCTTTCTGCTTCTCATAATTTTTAGGAGAGCCATAAATTAAGCCTAAACTTAAAGTAAGTAAATCCGCCAACACACCGTCCTAATCAGAGGGTGGGAAAACATTCACTAACAAGACAAAAGCTGTAAAATCATATCTGACTCGCTGATTTATTCC